AATTTTTATTTTTTTGAAAGTATATTTTAAGTCCCAGTGCAATACATGGCCTGCCTGCAGTTTCTAGTTGACTATGGCAGATTTACATTGTAAAGTGAAGGAAATACTCCTGATGATGGATAAAGTCCCACATCTGGATACACCGTAAAGTGTTTAGTGATTAAAAATAGGGTTCCCTAATGTATAACTCAACTCCTACTTCTCCACATGTTTATTAACCTTAGAGTGGGTTGAATTGTGTACTCCAGGTGATTAGTAAGAATAAATTTCCAATTTTTATTATTCTCAAACTCAGAGTGGTACTAGCAACTGTGAGTTTTAACATAGAAAAGTTAAATATAATTTTAAAATACATTATATATTTCCAAAGACTACAAAGCTTGCTTTATATACTTTCTTACTTTTTAAAACTTTTTTCTACTTTGGTAAAATAAAAATTAAGACCACTGAAATTAATAATGAAGTTTTCTTATGGGAGACATCTTTTTCTCAGGTAATTTATTCCTCTTTAAAGAAGGATAAATGTTTCCCTAGGTAATTTACCATGTAAATCCAGGAAGATCCTGATTCATTAGAGAAGACATATTTTTTCCAATGTTTGCATATATTTCAATACTATTCATTTTTGTTGAAACTCAAGTGACCTATTGTTTAGTTGAATTCTGTATCATTCTAATTTTAGTATTTGTGCTGCTGAAGCAAGTACTATTTAATTGAATTCTAATAGAACATGGACCTTTCTTTTCATTTGATTTATTTTTAAATATTTCCTAAGAATTTTATTGAAGAAAAATGTGCTTTTAAATTCTTAAGGCCTTGGCTGAAACACCCAAGTCCGACGATCCTAAGCAGAGATTAAATACTGTACGTCTGATCTAGTCCTTCATTCACAATGCACTACTCTTGGAACGCCCCTGCCCTTGCCTAGACCTGTAGCTTTGGAGCCATTGCGCATGTCAGGATGTGCCGCTCCTTCACCCTTCCTGTTCTGTCTTCAGAAGTGTTCTGTGCTACAAGCTGTGGACAGATGTAGGCGTGGTGAATGCCTGGGGGCAGATGTTGTCTTCCCTGATTGTCTGAGATTCCCCCACCCCACAACACCGTTGTGGACGTGGGCGGTGGTGGGTCATTTTGAGGAACGGGTGGAGACAGAGAAATACCTACTAGAGATTATGGCAGGATTCCAGGCTATTTATCAAAGAGGAGATTGCCTCTACTTTCCTGCTTGATGAGCCAGGACTTTTACAATTGAAGGCTCTTTTTTTTGAATCTGTCCGTTTAAACTCAAATGTAGAAAGAGTGTTAGTGATTAATTAGGTGTAGTAATTTATTTTCATCAGTGTTGTAGAATTACTGCCCCAACCCTAGATTCTAGTGTACGTGATTGATTTGAAGCTTATTCTTTAGGGCTGCAGTACATTTTCCCTGCAATTTTGGATACTTTAAAATGAATTATTTTCCTACTTACATGTATGATATAGACAGGATTCCTGGCACTGGCATTTACTTTGTACTACTAGAAGTTTACCAAAATTAAACACATTTACTTAATCAATTGTCTATAAAAACTTGGTTTTGTTTCCTCAGCTAGATTCCACATCACTTCTGTCCGATGAACAGTTAAAGTGTCTTCTGGATAGGTGCACATTCAGACAGAAGTCCATCAGTGGATGGATTTCCAAAAGAGAAAATGAAGACACTGAGGATAAGACACCCAAGTTCCCCCAACTTTCCAGATCTATGCTGTCAGAGTTACTAAATGGATCAGAAGCAAAAGTCCAGGAAAAAGGGGTGGAAGATGTAAATGTGCAAGAGAATGCAGAATGTGAAGCTTCCATGGGTTATTATCTCACTAAAGCCCTGGCTGGGCGCTATTTGTCAGAAGCTCTTGCCATCGAAGCAGAGAAAATGAAGTGCCTCCAGTTTTCCAAGGATGAGGTTATTAGTAACACAGAAGACTGTTTTATGTCAAAGACTATTGGCATCGGGAGACTACAAAGGCCTCCTTTCTTGGATGATCCACTTTATGGTATCAGTTGGAGCCTTTCATTAGAAGACCAGCGCCTGAAACTCAGTCCTTCCAAGGAACCAACACCAGGTGAGGCTGGGAGATCATATGTTTTGGGGAATAATTTGTAGAGGCAATTCAATAAAGATATGATTTGAAGTAGAGCAGGGGCAGAAAGATATATTTGCAAGTCACAGATGATATTAAGAACCATGTGAACCTAAGAACATATTTATCAATGTTCTTATGAGAGCAAGATTGAGATTAGTACTCTATGAAATATATTATTCTTGAAGATAATTAATCTTGTCATCCAGAAAATGATGTTGATTTCAGAGAAAGTAGTTCGAATGCGAACAAATAATTGAAATAGATTTGCTTCATACTTTGAATTCTTGAAACTTTTACCTCTAATGTAGATTACTCTAGAATATGTTGCCTTTTAGGTCTACATGTATTTATTCACCTATTCCTTTTTTGTGTATGGTAATAGGGATTGAACTCTGGACCTTGTGCTTGCAAGGCAGGCATGGTGCCATTGAGCTAAATCCCAGCCCCACCTATTCCTTTTTAAGTCTATAATCCATTAATTCTGAATTAACTCCTCAGTCCCATATTTCAGACTTTCCTCTTGATTTCTGTTTCCTCACTCATGCAGGCTCAAAATCTGAGTCTTTATTGAATTATCCCTCTCCCTTGCTTTCCAGTTCTAATCTTTGAGCATTGTTAGGCATACTCCCGCAGTGTCACTTGTGCCCATTCCATCTTTTCTCTTCCTGCTACATCTGGACCAATGTGATGGCCCTACAGAGGACTCCCTGCTTCTGGTCTTTCCCCTCCCTCTGCTGCTAAGCTAATTTCCTCAAGGAACAGCTTTTATAACTGCACTTCCCATCTCAAAAACTTCTGTGACTCTCCATTGGCTATTGAATGAAAGCTGAATTCTTTCTACTTGCTCTTGGAGGCCTGTAGAGTCTGTTCTGAAGTTCTCTTCTTAATCAGTCTCTGATAGTCACTTAAATGTTACTCAGGTAATTACTAATTTTGTCCCTGGTTTTCCAGGGCTTTCCCATGCTTCTGGTGCTAAGGAATGTTTTCTTCCCAGGAATGTTCAGCTGTTCCTTTAATGTTACTAAAATCCAACCCTACTCTCACTGAAGGTGATCCCCTCCCCCACCCCCCGCTAATGGTTTTATTCCTCCTCTCAATGTTCAGGCACACTGGTTCCGTATTGTATCATTTTACACATCCTGCCTGGATATTTTCACATACACACCCACATTCTCTTCCTTTGATAACTAAAAGAACAGACTACTGTGAATATGGTGCAGTGAACATGGGAGTGCAGATATCTTTACGACTTACTGACTTCAATTTCTTTGGAAATAATGATCAGAAGTGAGGTTGATGAATCATATGTTGGTCCTGTTTTTAGTTTTTTGAGGAACCTTCAACAGTTTTCTGTATGATGTACAACTTACACTCCTGCCAACAGTATACAAGGATTCTCTTTACATCCTCACTAACACTTACCTTTCATCTTTTTAATAACAGCCATTCTAACCAATATGAAATGATACCTCATTGTGGTTTTAAGTTGCACTTTTCTAATGGTTAGTGATGCTGAGCATTTTTTTCATGAGCCTCTTGGCCATTTGTATGTCTTCTTTTGAGAAATATCTGTCCATTTTTAAAAATAAGGTTACCTGGGCCGGGGATTTAGCTCAGTGGCACCACGCCTGCCTTGTAAGCACAAGGTCCTGAGTTCGATCTCTGGTACAAAAAAATAATATATATATATTTTCTCTATTAGGTTGTTTGGGTTCATTCTATATTTTGGACATTAACCTCCTTTCAGATGTATGGGGTTCAAATACTTTCACCCATTCTGTGTGTTGCCTCTTTGTTTTGTTCATTACTTCCTTTGCTGTGCAGAACTTTTTAGTTTGATATAAGCCCATTTGTCTATTTCTTTTTTGTTGCCTGTGCTTTTGAGATCTTATCCAAAATATAATTGTCCAGACCAATGTCATGGGGCATTTTGGTAGTATAGTTTCAAATGTTATATTTAAAATTTTAATCTATTTTGAGTTGACTTTTGTATATGGTATGAGATAAGGATCAAATGTCATTGTTATTCATATAGATATCTCATTTTCCCAGTACCATTTATTAATTTATTTTTTAATTCATTAAGTTTATTGGTACATTTTAGGAGTACAGTACGATGACATCATCACTGGGAATTTGTACCTTTACATGATGTATCTTGGCTCTTATTTTTTTGCCCATTCTCCAGCCCTCCTTACACAGCTCCACCCCTTCCTATTTATAAAAACTTTGTTTTCCTTTTTTCCTTTTCTCATATTTTTTCCATTCCCTTCCCCTATCCCTCCTACTTCCCCTTCCCCTTTGGGCCTTATCTTCCTATTTCATATTATCTATTATACATTTTGATCCTTATTTACACTTTCAGTTTCTCACACCAGAGAAATTATTTGGTATTTACAATTATGTGTCCTATTTATTTCACTTAAGAGTATGGCCTCAATGTGCATCCATTTAGCTACAAATGTCTCCAGTTTCTCATTCTTTATGGCTGAGTAGTGCTCCATTTCATAAAAAAAACCCCACATCTTCTTTATCCACTCACAAGTTGATGGGCAGTTGGGCTGTTTCCAAGATTTAGCTATTACACATGCTACTATAAACAGATGCATATACATCACTGTGGTATGATTCTTTTAATTCTTTGGGGAAGATACCCAGCAGGGGAATAGTTGGATGAAATGGGACCTCTAATCCTAGTTTTTTGAGGTATCTCCATGCTGATTTCCACAGTGGTTGTACCAATCTACAGTCCCACCAGCAGTAGAGAAGGGTTTCTTTTTCCCCACAACCCTACCAGCATTTGTTATTGGTTGATTTCTTGATAGCAGCCATTCTTTCTGGAGTGAAGTGGAATCTCAGTGTTGTTTTGATTTGCAACTCTTGAATGACCAATGCTCTTGAACATTTTTTCATATGTTTACTTGCATTTCTACTTTGTTGACAAATGTCTGTTCATTTCAGATGCCCATTTTTGGATTGGGCCTTAAAATTTGGGAGATCTGATTTTTTAAAGTTCTTTATAGATTCGAGATAGTAGACCTTTGTCTGATGGACCACTGTTGAAAATTTTTTTCCACATTGTGGGTTATCTCTTCACACTGCTGGTGGTTTCTCTTGCTGTGCAGAAGCTTTTTAGTAA